TATTGAAGATGATGATGAAGAAAGTGATTATGAAGATAGTGAGGAAGAGAGTGGTAACAGTGAAGAAGTTTCTTTAGATGAAGAGTCACATTCAGAGGAGGACTTTGATGTTGGTGTAACCAGCACTGAAGACATGATGCTATTTGGTGATCCTGAAGATGAGGAAGAGAGAGGGGGTCAGACAATTGTGAACAAGATGGCTAAGTTGTATAAAACAGGGAGGCTATGGGTAAGAGGTAGAGATGGGAAGGTTGACCTAAAAGTGGGTGACGTATTTAGTTGCAAAGCTGATTTATTGAGGATCATGAAGGATTACTGTATTCAGAAAGGGATTTTTTTGAAGAAAATAAAAAATGACAAGAAAAAGTATACTCAAGTTTGTATGAATAATAAGTGTGCCTTTAGGATCCATGCCTCTATTCTCATTGATGGACACTCCTGGATGATCAAATCTTTTACTGATGGACATGTTTGTGCGGTGAAAGAGCATCACAAGAGGGCCGGGGCAGCTTGGGTTGCAAGCCATATGCTCGAGGAGTTTAGAAGTAATAGGGAAATGAATGCTACCACTGTCCAAAAGCGAATGTTGACTAAATTTAACACATATATTCCTAATTACACTTGCTGGAGGGCCTTGAAGCTCATGAGGAATATGGTTGAAGGAAGATACGAGGATGGTTACAAACTTTTACCTCAATACTTGGAGGTGTTTAAGGATAGAAATCCAGACTCTTCTTGCTTCATAAGGTGGGAGGAAATAGGTCCTGGTAGAAATCCAATTTTCAGAAGATGCCAAATCTGTATTGGCTCAGCAATCACATCATTTAAGCAGTTTTGTAGGCCATTAATTGGTATCGATGCATGTCATTTAAAGGGTCCTTACCAAGGTATACTTTTAACTGCTATGGCATTGGATGGGAATAATGGCCAATTTCCATAGGCATATGGTGTAGCAGATCGCAAGGATGAGACAGAGTGGTGTTTTTTCCTGAATGGACTAGCAGATGCCCTAGGATGCCTTGAGGACGCATCTAAATACACTATAATATCAGACAGGCATCAGGTAAATGTTTCTGTTATTATGGTTTATTGTAAAAACCTTTACAAATGTACTTATGCAAACTGTTTTTATAGGCCATAGTTACAGGGCTACACAATGTTCTTCCAAAGGCTTCTAGAAGGATATGTGTGCTGCACTTTTATAAGAACTTTGCCTCAAAGTTTTCAAGTACACTACTGAACTCATTATCTTCATATAAAGAGGCATTTATAAAAGATTGTTTTAATGACATACTCTTATTTTCATTAATAGGAGCATGGTTCCGTTCTTTCTTCTACATTGTGGCCAACACTTTCTCAGAATATGTCTTCAACAGAGCCATGGACAAAATTAAAGAGGAGGATGCAGAAGCATATGAGTGGCTTATGAAAAATGAGCCACATGAACATTGGGCCAGGCATAAATTTAATCCAAGCTTGAAGTGTGAAGATAACACCAATAACTTTGTGGAGTCCTTCAACAAGGCAATTATAGCACATAGGGCCAAGCCAATTCTGCAAATGTTAGAGGAAATCAGAAAACTAGTTGGGAATAGATTTGAAAAAAGATTTGGAATGGGTAGTAGCTGGTCTAGTGTAGTCACACCATATGTTGACAAAAAACTTAGGGAGATTTCAATGGAGTCCCGAGTTTGTTTAGAGGTTGTTGCAGCAGGAAGGGGAGAATTTGATGTACTAGATGGGACCACAAACTTCACAGTAAGACTGAGAGACCATAGTTGTGATTGTAACAAGTGGCAAGTGTCCGGCCTTCCCTGTAAGCATGCCGCAAGATGTATCCTTAGAATTAATGAGAACTTAGAAGATTATTGTTCACCTTTGTTTTCAGTAGGTAATTACAGGGCCTTATATGATGGCATCATACACCCTATCCCAGATCCATGCATGTGGGGGCAGAGTGAACTTCCAAAACTGGACCCTCCCAAGAACATGAAAAAGAAAGGAAGACCAAAGAAGCATCGAAGAAGAGATGGACTTGATGATGTTATTGCAAAGGAGCATAAAAGGATACCTCATGGGACAAAGCGTTGCAGCAAATGCAAACAGGCGGGACATAATCACAGGACTTGTGGCCAAGGCAGAGATGAAGAAGGAAGACTATTGAAGAAAAATAAGATAAAGAAAAAAGCATCACCAAAGGCCTAGTAGTATTGCAGCAGTGGATATGTTTAAAAAAATGTTCTTACCATTTTGTATTGTTAAAAAAATGTTCTACCATTTTGTATTGTTAAAAAAATTTTCTACCATTTTGTTAAGGCACTAGTGGCCAAGGTAGATATGTTTACGGAATGAGCATTGTGCTCTTTTTCATTTTGTTGTTTGTCATTCTGCTGTTTTTTCGGTTGCAAGCAATATGTTTGAGGAGCTTAGACACTTGCTGTAGTTTTTAAACCTCAATGAATGACCAATGTGCTGTTTTTTGATCTTTGCTGCTGTTTTTTTCTTCTATGCTGCTGTGCTGCTGTTTTTATGTAGTATGCTGTTTTTTGGGTTCCTTGATGCTGTTTTTATGTAGTATGCTGTTTTTTGGCTTGGTAGCCATATTCTATTATATTGTAACTTGTAGGACCACAAACTGGACAATTTCCTTTAAGTTCCTGAACCAATTAGGTTTGGATAGTAATTTACATATGCCAAAGCCACTTCATTAGGATCAGTCTCCAACTCAAAATTCAGAGTACAACAACATTCAAAGTACATCATACAAACTTCAACATCAAGCTATTACTTTCACATTTTTCATCACATTACATAAACAAAACATTAACCACATAAACGATGACGAGCGCTACAACAAAACCAGAGATAAATGGTGCAACAATTGTCTTCCTTTTTAAGAGCTTTATCTCCTCTTGATTTGCATTCCTATTCTTTAGAAGCCCAGGAATTATCTTCTTGGCGCGTTCACAAATTGGCGGGTCGAGCCATTCCCAATACAAGCATTTATGATTACCCTATTCAACAATGACTAACATAAGCAACTTAAATCAGAAA